GAGGGAAAGGGCGTGGGGAAAGGGGCGGGGGGTTTGACCGAAGAGCTGCCTGACTGACACCTCGGGTGGGTGGTCTAAGTGGGCGCCTTGTGCAAGAGAAGGTGTCTTGCACTTAGGAGCTACACCGCTGTGCGTCAGCCTTGTGGTATCAAGTTACAACATAATGTCGTCTCTAGTTTTTCCCCTCTGTAAAAGAAATCCAGTCTTCCGAACTTTCACTAACTCCACTCAGCCAGATAAGGTCCCTACTTATCACGACCAACATCGTAATTGTAATTTGAAGAAATGTTTATTGAGAGCCATGAGCTCCCGAGTGTTTAAATGAGTTTTAGTCAAATCAAGTTTTCTTTTTTGTGATTTTTTCGCAGCCTTAGACGCAAATCATAAGGCTGGACTCCTAATAAATCACTGCATTGTTTTGGTTTTCCCGGTCTTTTTGAAACACGCAACAGTTGAGGCCATCGACTTTGGCAAAATAGATTGAGTCGCTCATTATAAGTCCAGTGTCTGAAATACCTGCCACTTCGGCATTGTCACTGCACGCATTTGTTGTCAATCAGCGGGTAACGAATGGGCTAATTTTGGTTCACCTAAGGCCGTCTGTGCATGACTTGTAGGTCTGTCGCACATTTGGAAAGAGCGTGCGTAAGTACCTGGGTATTTTGTATTTCCTGCCCAGAGGTTTATTAAGAAGAGATCTGTTGAAAAAATTTGTTTTGTCTGAGCCTTGTTGAATGAGAAGGGCGTTGCGGCCCCTCATGCTTCAGTATTGCTGGTTATGAATGGCACAAATTAGTTTTTTTGAGGTTTTTATATGCGGACATTCGAGGGATCTTCGTGTTCAAAACATGACATCACCTTTTGTTCCCTCGCGGGAGCAACATTTTCTCATAGGTGAGTGCGGTGACAACTGCCGAATCGTCGGCACTGCCATCCCTTCTCTAGATTTGACAGACTTGTGTTCTGGCATATTTACATAACAGGCCTCCTTAAGCTGCATTTGGAGTTTGCAGACTAATTTTGAGGTAGTTATAAGGGTGCAGCAAAATTAGGTGCGAAGAAGACTTTACCCCAAACTCCGTTCTGGGAAGGTGGTGCTTGTGACTGTATTTAAAATAGTCCTAGATGCAGCAAACCACTGCGAAAGGGTTTCACGGCTGGTGGTATCAACAAGGAATGACAATTGGATCAAATTCCCAAAAGGACCTGTTGTGGTTGAGGGGTCAGACATTTCAGGGAGTCACACGAGTACTCCACTTGTGATGTTCTCATGTACAAGTGGAAGGGGTCAGGTTTAAAGCCACGTTAACGCTTTCTTCCACAAATATGACTGCGTTTTGGGCGTTCAGGTGTGGAATGTGTTGCAGTGTGACTGTCTTGGTAATTTAAAAACACCGAGCAAACTGTCGGAAGGAGCGTGCTGACGTCTGTAAGGCCGTGCATTTCCGTTGTACCGTTCCCTGAATCAGTCTAATCACTTAAAAATATTATTTTTATGCGAAACTACAAATCCCTCGTAAATTGTACTTACCTTTATCACTGCAAGTGGAGTAAGCGATACGATAATATGGGGCGTAATCCATGAATGCGTCTACCCTGAATTTTAGCACATTATGAAAATGGGGATGCGCAAAATGTACTTAAACTGACATGAAAATATGAGAAATCCATAAACGTGGTTTGGTACAGTTAGTTCTGAATGAAACCAAAAAACGTATTGAAGTCACTTTACCTAAACTGCAGCCGTGTCCCTGTTTTGCATAACTCACCTCAAAACTTCAAAAACATGCAGAAGACTTTGCAATTTATACAGATTGCTTAAACCTGATTAGTGTTGAGTCTTGGAGGTTGATCCGAAAAACGCCCACCAGTGAGATATCACATAAGAAGATGTTGGACAGTCATGTGCCATTCCCGATGCCACACGGTAGGTTTACTTGAAAAAAAAACTAATGATCCTGTAGCCATAGGAAACAGCGTCGTCCTGGATAATAATACTTCAGATTAAACGCGTGATTTAACCAAGGCATAGTATTTGTTTGCTGGAACTGTTGTCTGAAAACACAAAGAAACTGAGCAGACGCTGGCTGTTGCTTCAGGATAAGAGTCCAAACTCATCAGTAAGGTTCACTGGGCTCGCCATTGGTGAGTACAGGTTAACACCGAATTTACTAGAAGTCACGTGTCGCAGAAGCACCGTCTTAGTAGAGAGCGTGAGTGAGCTGTCGAGAGCCGAGATGCACGGCTGTAGTCTTGGCTCTCAACGGTGTGTCAAAGTTGGGTGACCCACCCCTCCACCCCACACCTCCGAAACGCCTGTAATAGGAGAACGCGTGGCCGCATTGCCGGACCCCCCCGCCGCATCCAGCCACCCCCGACGTGGGGGTGGCGCGCAAACGACCGCCACGAGGCTTTCATCACCACGGCCGCCCTCGCCTCTTCTCGGGTTTCACGCGCGCTCTCGCGTCACTGCTTATTTTTTTGTCGCCTATCCAACATCTAATCCCAGATAAAAGTAGCGTTAGTGTATTGTTTGATTATCGAATCTCCAACTGGGAAGGTGCATTTTGCCAGAATTCGTCTACTTGTGACCTCAACATTCCGAATACATCCAGCAGTACAGCACTGGTGATAAGCACTCAAGCCTTTGATTGTAGGCCAAATTCTGGCTATTTTGCCGGGTCAGCAGAGCAGGGGGTGGAGTTGGGTGCCTGTTTTAGCATCTGAAACCCGCCATTTCTCGGACCGACAGCTTTAAGTCAAATCCAATCGAATGAGCCATGAACAAATTGTTTTGGGAAAATCACCAGCCACACTTGTCCTGCGAAAGCAAGTAGCAGTTTCTGCAGGTTTTTACGACTTACACGATGTGTTTTATCGAAAATCTGAACTTAATTTACCAACAAGTTTCCAGCACTATTTATCCAGGTGAATGAGAAAAGCGCATTTCGAATGACCGCAAGTCGCCAAATTCACCTAAAGGTATTTTGCCGGATCTTTCTCGACCCTGTCTCTGAGTCCCTCGACTAGTTTCTGTTAACCTCATTCATCTAGTCCTGCTAATTGAGTTTGCTCGTAATGTCACGCTTGCATAGGGGAGGTGCTGGAGGTTGGGAACCCACACACGATCGGTGTGTAGACACTTTACTTCTCGGCATTTCATCTAAAATCCACGGAAAATGTGTCCTGAAGTGTACTCGAAGTCAATGGATTGGAGGGGAAATAAAATGTTTGACGAAATATCCTTTGAATCCAGTTCGTTGTTACTGAAATTGTCAGGCATCTGCAGTACAATCCTAGCCTTCCGCTATTGGCAGTTCTTAATTCGAGCCGTGTTCATCAACAACCCATCGAAGGCCACTCAGCTTGCGAGATCCGTTTGCCAAACCTTTAGCTTGATGTTCTCCTTCCCTGAATGGTATTACCATTATATTGCCTTCTTTGTGGAATTTGCCGCTGTTTGTGGATCAGTCACTTTGGGAGATTCCATTCGGCATCTTCAGCAAAATGAAAGTAGTAAATGATATGAAAGGAAACATGCTAGTAAGCCCGACTACAAAATATAAACTTCAGATTCAACCCGAAAAACTTTACCTCATTAAACTTAAAACTTCTATGTAAAATCCCACATTTACACCTGTCTCACTGAAAATCGGACGACGGATAACCTCTTCTCCCTTGATGACAGCCTTCTCTATGTCTAAAAATTATAAATTTTCTCGCGGAAACACTGTGGAGTATAAATTTCAGCATTTGAGCGGCATGAAACTTAACTCCAGTAAAACATTTTCCTACTTCTGACCATTTCGTAGTATCGCATTGTGCTGGTTACCGATGATCGACAATTCTTAATGGTGATTAGATGCAATTAAATAGTCGGTTGTATTACTTTCCGTAGATAGTTTCATAACCGGTTGTAGGCCACACCCAAACCACACACTGAAAATGGTGTAATGCATTAAAATTAATGTTTTTTTTGTAATTCTTAGGTGAAATTCAAGGTCCTCGTTTTAGGGGTGTTTTCGGAAGGCAACAAAAAAAAACATTGCTCCCTAACGCAACTTTTCCCTTAACGATCTGCTTCGCCTGTTGCTGAATGGGCTCTTAAACATGATTCCCCCCTAAGGACGGTGCGTTGTGATGATGATGGCTTGTTAGCTGTGATTGCCATTCAAACGTAGAATGAAGCTACTCAAGCCTGACAATTAAATAAAGCGAGCCAGACAATTTGTTGGTATGCCAATTTCTTTGGAGCTCCAAATTAAGACGTCCATATTAGGGCGAAAGAAAATCGTGTTCGTGGGAAATATTGATCGCACGTCGTTAACAGGGCCATGTCTAGGTTCTAGAAAATTGATGTACAGAAATTAAGAATAACCAAAATCGATTACTGCACACGGATCATGAAAAATAAGACAGCCAAAAAAGAGTAATAAATGGAATATTTAACTCAATCGTGACAAAACACTGCAAAAACCTCTTGATTGAAAATAAATGACTGTTTGAGGATTAAGATTAACAACGTAATCTACAGGTAGTACTCTGTGGTGCGCTAAAATTTGGCAGCAATTTTGAGTACTCAATTGAGCACTATTATAGTCAGACGCGATCAGACTGTCAAAAATTGTGAAGGCTGGGTACAGCCATCGATGAACTAACTCTTACAAATTAATGCACAATTTACAGTGCAATGTAGAAACCTCAAGCCAGCCAACTGAATGACCTAAAATTATGTAATCCCATGTTGATTGCATAAATATCGTCTCCTTTTTTAAAATCCCTTAATATTTCCTACCCGCTTTAATGGGTTCGGCTTTAAACCCATTCTTCTTTCCCTCCCCCACGAAAGAAGAGCCAATATCTAGTTTTTGATTGGTTTGCAACTTGAATTGAGGAAACCAATCAGAATTGACCTGTGCGCGTATGCAATTCCTATTGGTGATACTGTCGAAAATGCGCGTTTCTAAAATAATTCCTACCAGACACTGGTTTGTGGCAGCATGGATCGCTACATACCAATGCCACAGCACCAACATCAGCCCAGTCTGAAACCCCTCAAAAAACGAGGTCGAAAACCAGGCGTGCACAGCAGCGTAGTCCAACGCAACGCTGCGAACGCCAGGGAACGCTCTCGGATGCGTGTGCTGTCGACAGCTTTTGTTGAACTCAAAAGCGTTCTTCCGTGGGTCCCGAAGGACACTAAACTCTCCAAGCTGGATACACTCAAACTTGCCTCTGGGTATATCACTTACTTGAAGCAAATTCTCGATGCGCCGGAGGAGGGCACTCAGACTCTTCACACCGACTCCCTCCTAGGGACAGTTTTCAAGGGCTCGGCACCCAAAGCAGTGGTGGTTGGTGGAGGCGATTCGCCACTACAAAGACCACCTGTGAAAAAGACACTAGTGGAGTTTCCTTGCTTAGAAGCCCCAACGACCCAGCCAAATGTGAGTTCCAGTTTAAAAAAGAGTGTTACCACGATGACGAAAACCGTGGATTGCCCGACATACATATAATTACGTTGCTTTCTGCATGTTTTAGGCCAAAATACTTAGTAGTATTATCGTCTCACACTTAAGCGGCTACTCCGCCTTTATTTTATTTGCCCAAACTTCACGATGCATCTCGGTTCTTTTCCATTTGAACTTTTTTATCTAAACTGTTTAGTAATTTAGGTAAATCGGGCACACGATTACGCATTGGACTAACTATGGAGAATTATTTTTGCTACTAATGCAAAACAATTTTTTTTCGGATATTTACTGTCAGCTTTCTTCCATTTCTTTGGCGGATTGTGATTATTTTTACATAATGTGGCTTTAAATTTTGGGAAAATTCTTTGTTGGATCAAATTTTAAAGGCTTTCACAAGGTGTAAGTTTTATCATCAAAAAATGAGTCGCTGGTTTGATACCCTCTTCTCGAAGGATGACGCAATTTTACTGATTCAGCAATGGTGATTTTTATGGGAAATCGATTTCCGATTTATCGTGCTGCACGCAGTACTTTGCCGCTGTTGTGCTTTTTTATTAAGATTAAAAGCCACCTAATGGATAACCCTTGTGAAATTTCACTGCACTGGCACGAACAGGCTTTTGGGGTAGAGACCAGCCCTCAGTGTGGGTAATGATGGATGTCCCGGTGTTAGACTTGCTTTTTGTATCAGCTTCGACGAGTTGAATTTGATTCTAATCTCCACTGACATCTTTATGAAAAAATAAATCTCTGTCCACTGTAGATCAGCATCGTCAGTACTCGATGGTTGTATTTCTTAAGCGAATCTGAATTCGGTGATCAATTTTAAACCTTCGCACCTCCTCTGGTTGTTCCTAACACCACAGTCCCGTAAACCGGGGTGCATTTAGCCTAGTCGACAGTTTTGATTGGTTTTCTTGGGATAAGCTACAATTTCTGTCACCCTGAAAACCAGTCAAATTCAGGCTCTGAGTTGTCGAAGTTCCTATTATCTAAACTGACAATGACAAGATTTCATTGCCAGGCCACAAGAATGTGCAGAATCGGTGTCACTTGAGGCACCAGTGGAGTTGAAACACGTGTGCCATCTAGCGTTTGGCCCTCCGTCCTATTACGGCACTTTAATTTTTTTTCCACCATTCTTGAAATGCATTCTAGACTACCATAGATGTAACTAGTGTATAACTTCTGCAGTCACGAAGATGGTGTTTATTCCATTAAAAACAAAACGGCATCACTTACGGAAACCACAGCAGATCGTGGCTTGGTTGTGTGTAAGGTAAAATCAAAAGCCACTAAGATATTTTAGCGTCCATTTACGGCAAAAATTCAGACATAACTAAAGGGGAAAAAAGAACACGATGTGGCGTTTGCGTACATAACAAGCACTTTCGTGTTCTGTAGTCCTGCAACACAATTTCAACTTAACTAGCTACGGAGATATTATCCTTACACGTACTTGGATGTGCATTCCCAAACGAATGGCATTAACTTAGTCCGTATCCTTTACTTAGAAGCGCATTCAAATTATGCCTTCTAAAAATAAGCACGTTGGTCCTTCGGGGAAAAATGCCCTTTAAACTGGGCCATGACTGACTTACTTTTCCACCTACTCTCCTTAAAACTGCCCTGCTGCACCGTCACAACAGTCGAGGTCGTGAGCATGCCATGCGTCCCAGGGGTGGGTGTCAGAGCGACCGGATGCAAGTGACTCCCCTCGCAGTCACTCAGATAAGCTCCGAGCTCGATAAATCTCCGTCCGCGCACGATATAGGCCAGCACGCAGTAAATGGCGTGCACACGCCGAAAGGTGAATACGGCAGAGTTGTTAGCTCGATTTCCTCTTTAGTGTGGATGCAGGTGGTCCTCCACACTCGTCCACTGACACTGGGTTACAAGAAATCGCCCTTTTTGGTAGGGTGTGGGCACTGTTAAGGGACTTGTGAGGGTAGAGCTAGCAGAAACTTGGGCCAAATTGACAACTAAATCACCTCTTCGAAAGAAGATTCTGAAGTGAGTGAATGCGTGGCGGACTTGACACGGCAATTTCGCCGCAGGAGTCGAGTTCGGAAGCGAAAGATACCAGAGCAGGTTAGTTTGAGGGTGGTCCACGAATTTTCGTTCCTGCGGACCAAGCCTGGGGATACCCTTTAAGATGACAATCGTGACTAGGGCACGGCTCTTGCAAACAACGCTGAAATTAGGAGAGAATCCACACTTAAGTCACGAAATACTACAACTTTTCATTTGCCTTTTTTTAATGAATCGTGTAATTAGAAGAAGGCTAACAGAAGGTTTTGCTCTTTCAAATTAGAAGGAAACATTCTGGACAAACTGATGCGATAATCGAAGTATTGATTAATGGAGGTTTGTTGGAGAATGGTATTGGGTTAATCAGACGTAGAAGTCAGATCTATGACCCAAAAACCAGTACGCGAGAAATGTGTTTTTAACAGTGTTTATCGAAATCCAAGCAGTGTCACGCAAGCAGGCAGCAAGCTCGAATAAGCCCGGAGTTGTGCGACTCCTTTCGTTCCATTTGCACTTTTCCACGGGCCGAGGACAATCTGTCGACTGCTTAACGTGGACAATCAAATGGAGACATTTACCCAAAGGTTTGCTTACTCACGATTATCGTCCAGTGTGAAGGGAGTCGATAAGTCACCACAAGTATTACCGCATGCTCATCTGCGACAGTGAATGCGTTTTGCGGAGTAGAACAGACGTTCACTCCTAGACACTAAATCATGTTCAATTAGGTAATAATAATAACAATAATACACGACACAGTATTAGGCTATTTCGTCTTTCGTCAAATGAAAACTTGAACGGCGACCGATTGCCTGAGAAGTGTATTCTACAGCATTGCTAACGAACATGAAACTTTCTTACGCCCTTCGTTGGCTTGTTGGCGAAATAAAATGCGTCTGATTAATTGAAGGAAAAAACTTCGAATGTCGACAAACTAATCCATCCTCAGAATTGATTTTTCTCAAAGGCCACTTGAGTTTCCATGAGGTGTTTTTTCGCAATTGAAAGTGGCACGTAGACACGCTGGCCGTAGCGAGGTTTCAAAAACAATGCGCTGCCACATCTGAAAGCATATTTTTGATTTCTAACAATCCCAGTCAGTTGTGAGGGCTCCGAAGTGATCGCTGATTGAAACCACGCGACTCTGTCACTTGCAGTTCAGGCACTTTCGTTAACATCACCACGGGGAGATTTTAAACGCTAATTGCACATTCATATGTAGGGGTCAATTGGTATGTAGGAACACACTGCATCGTGGCCGGACACGTGGCTCTGTGAAAGCTGCGGCGAAAAACCAAAATTATCCTTGAAACTCCTATTTGAATTCCCCGTGCATGTCGAGGTCCCTTGAATGCCATCTTACGAAACAGATCCTATGGATTGGAGGTGTGTACCTCCTTTTCAATGGCTTATGTCTAAACACCAATACGTCCTTCCTATTGGTGTATTTCGCTCACAACTCCCCGACCTCATGGGCTTTGTAAAACTAGTAAGACAGGCGCCTGAATAAACTAACCATTGGAGAGTCTTATGACCTCAAGTTGTCAGTCACACCCACATGCTCTCCAGTTGTTTGTGTCCTCGTTTTGAAGCTGGAATCATGGCAACGCATTTTGGATCGCCCAGAGCCGGCTGGTCCAGCGCCTCCTCGTCTCTAAGGCCTTTCACGCAATTTTAATAAGTGTGCGAATAATGTCTATGCAATGTCTGCATGTAAATTAAATTATTTTTCATTATCACCTAAAGGCACTCTTTGAGCAAGACGCTCGTGCTGGGGATGGAGTCCACAGCAGGAGCCTTTTTCGGCACGAAAAGACTTTCCTAAACGAATTAGGCCATTTCTGGCGCTTGTCAGATACCCCAAGAGGGAACACCTCGTCTCAGTAGCCAGGGGCCTAGCGCTGCCCAATAAAATGCCTGTTACTCGAGTTGGTTGAGCATCACAGACGAGCCCCACCCTCTGCAACCGTCCTCCACTATTTAACCAGGTTTTTTTGCATCTAGCACATACTTTTTTAATGCCTTCCTCTGTTTCGGCTACTTTCTAGTGGGTGATTGCAAAAGTAAACTACGACACGTTTTCGTGGTTCGGAGTACTTACTAATAAAGAAGGTACTTTCCTTCATTCCCTACAACTGCCTCCAAACGCTTTACACTTTCTTAAAGGCCTTCTTAATGGAAACTGAGAATAGGAGTTCATTCAAAACAAGTATCTTGAAGGTATTGCTGCGATTCCACCACGCTCATTTTTTTAACTTAAAATAACATAACACGATGAAAATTGCAAATCTTTAACCTCTTTTTTGACTCACCACGCCTTTAGGCATGAAAATATAACCAAAATGAGTTACATACACACTACTTAATTACAAAAAGCAGTTTTATTTTTTCTTGCAGTCTATTTGGTGGCATGGCAACAACGAATCCACGAGATGTCTGCAAGATGTGTCCTACTCCCCTTCTTCCTCATACCGAACCAACAACTTCCTACTGCTCCCATGGTCGTCTTTCAACGTCAATATTCCAAGTTCTCTCAGCCCTTTCTATATTCAGTCGCCAAATGCGACAGGTGACCTGCCAGCAACCACAGACTACACGAGTTTAAATATACGCTGAGGTTCTGCCTCCCTGTACATTTTCACCAGACATCAACACTCTGAGCTTGGACATTCAGCTACGCGTAAATTGGTAAACAGCATTCCAGGTAAAAGGACACACGAGGGATCATCGTAATGCATGATGGCGCCACAAGTGAGATGCGACACACGTGAGTGTTTGCAGGTTAATGCACATATCGAGTCGATACGAGGATCTAACGGGTCACGTGTACCCTGAGCTACTCTAGTGAAGGTGGGAGGACCTGGTGTTCGGCTTAATAATTCCCCGCAGGACTTGAGGGATTGCGGTTTGCTGAAACGGGAAAAAATCAGACCATTTCGACGTCGTGGGTTTACGCAGCTGACGAAAGATCCACTTCCGTGCAAAAAACAGCAGGAGGTGGCCAGCAGACG